CTAATGAAAGTTCAATAGAGCTAAGGCAGTAATCCAAAAATGTTAGCACAGCTGGTTTGCTGCCCGACAAATCGCGAAGCGTCTCGTCACGGCGAGGGGACGGATGCGGACGCAAGAATGCGTCTCGACGCAAGAATGCGACCCCGGCTGCAAAGGCCAGTGGGTCACAGCGGGGCAGGTCACAGCGGCGCGTCACAGCTCCATCGCAGAGCCGCTGTCAACAAGTCGATCCCGTCAACTGAGTCATCAAAACAGACGGCAAATTGATTCACACACAATAAAGAGCTCTAGGCAATTACGCAGTGAACAGTGACATATATAGCCTTCAGAAAAAATTATGATGAAGCAGCAAAATATTGCGAATATTGGTCAAGTTGAACTTACAAGAACATTATGCGGAGGTAAAGTTTGAAATTATCCGCAAGAAAAATTCACACTATGTTACTTCATAAACATAATTATTACCTATAAATTAAATTTTAAGACATCTTAACGGACTTTTTAGTCGTTTGGCTGCCAATAGAAACTTAAATAATCTCTAGAAAGTCAAAGTTGCAGGGTTGGTGATTTTTTTGATTTTTTTAAAAAAATCAAAAAAATCAAAAATCAATGATTTTTTTGATTTTTTCATGATTTTTTTGATTTATTTGATTTTTTTTATTTTTTCAACTTTTTTGTCTTTTTGAAGTGTTATTTTTTTATGTTGCAATTAGCCAACTAACAATAACAGTATATAGATCATAATGGATGACTAAAAAGGGCACTTATTGCCTTCAATAATGGCCAACAGGCCAAGGTGGTGTTTACCACTTAGGGATTTTTGGGTAAACAATTATTGGTAAGTCTATTCATTAGCTTTTTAAAGTTTGCATGGAGTAAGGTAATGAGCTAAATACTGACCATTTAACTGGCTTCAATATACAAAAACACTTCAGGAATGCAGATCTTCTAAACATTGAAGATTCACATATCAGATAGGTAGCTGATAGCACAGTGCACAGCACTATCAATAGATCTACTAGTTTTATGTCCTATAAATCTACCAGACTCTACCCTCTATACACACCGACTAGTAGTGACTGAGTGACTGACTGCACTGTTCCCATTTAATTCAGACCAATAAACCAATACTAAACATAAACTGAACGATAACCAAACCAACCTCATACGACTTGAAACGAGACTTAAGTTATGAGAAAATCTAATACTGTTTGAAATAAACATGTGCACAATTCAAATATTTTATATCCATTCACTGCATTTAATCATTTTAAAATTAAAGAGTAATGGAGGTACTCAGGTACATATAAAGAAGAAAGTTTATTTTCCAAGAGGTTAGCATAGCATACCATTTAGAATAGTTTTGTTTTGAAAACAATATCTGGAAGAGGGCTGTTAGCTGCAACACACTGTTGGAGTCGTTCTCAGAGGAGGGAGTAACCGTGATAGTGAATTCCGATCGCTATGCTGCAATGTTGCAAAATTTCTTGCAGCCTATGATGGAAAACATTGTTGAAAATGAAGCATTGGGAGATGTGTGGTTCCAGCAGGATGGGGCTACAGCTCACACAGCCCGAATGTCACTCAATGTTTTGAAACGCATGTTTCCCGGAGGTCTGGTGTCTCTTAGAGGTGATGTGCAGTGGCCTGCAAGGTCACCTGATTTGAGCATTTGCGATTTCTTTCTTTGGGAACATCTATAAGAAAGGGATTCAGAAGTCGCCCTCACACCCTACCACAGCTAAGGGAACAGATTATTGTAGCAGAGGTTATGGCCATATCTCGCCATATGTGTGAACATGCTGTAGAAAACTTCCGAGAACGACTCCAACAGTGTGATGCAGCTAACAAACCCCATCTTCCTGATATTACTTTCAAAACATAAGTATTTTAAATGGTATGTTATGCTAATCTTGAGGAAAATAAACTTTCTTTTTTATGTACCTCCATTACTCTTTTATTTCGCCCCAAAACTGTTCAATCAGTTCTGCCCCACCTTGTATAAGCTAGCTAACACATTTAAATTGTATATTGTAATCAATATATAACAAATAGTCAAATAGTTAAAGACTACTTATAGCCTTATAAGAATTAGATAAGCTGCTAACTATGTACAATGTATTGCAACACTTGATGCCTCTGTACCGGTACCAAAAACAATCAATTTATTGGAACCTAATACACACAAAGGCAACAAGTTTATATACCAATTTGTCATTCATAGTTCATTTATACTATACCATGAATAACAATACCTCAATATAAATTAAAGACTGCCACTCAATATATTCAAATATATGAAAAAATCAAAAAAATCAAAAAAATCGAAAAAATCAAAAAAATCATGATTTTTTTATAAAAAAATCAAGTGATTTAATCACATGATTTAATCATTTTGATTTAATCATTGCCAACCCTGCAAAGTTGTAAATTTATTCCATTCTAAACTACATTCAATACAGAGCATAGTTAGCGTTTAAGATAGTAAACACAGCTATGACTGTATAAATGTCAGTGTAAAAAGATTAAATAAGATGCACATTGTAAATTACTGCAGGTTTACGATGATATATTAGTTCAGATATACTCATTCCACATAGAGGCCAGCACTGAGTCACGGCACTCTTATCTCCACCAGACAGGAAGTGTCCAGCGCTTATCATTTATTACTTGACCTGCTGATCCTTGAGATAATTGCCAGGGAATATACTTTCAAAAAAAGTTATGAGATCGTAAGTTCATCAGCCAATCATTGACAGCCTTACAAGCCAAATCCACCAATCATAGACAAGAAAATAGAGCGTATATAAGTACTTACGTTCACTTAGCGAGTTTTGAAAGTATGGCCCCAGGAATTGTATTCGCTGACACTAATCAATGATCTTTTAGCGGATTTAGCATGGAATGTTACATGTATAGATTATAAATGTTTATGGTTTTGTCAATAACTCCCTTATTTGCTCTCTTACGATCGATCGAATCAATAATCATTAGATTCGGAGCGAAATGTAATGGGTGAGAAACATAAATACTGCATAGATAATAAAATCATTAGTCTTTATCTTTTTGCAAAGATTGTGCGAATCAAGAAGAATTCCATGAATATTAATATATCACAGTGAATGAATATTAATAGTATTTCAGTTTGCATTTAAACCTGAGAGTAAATTATCTTGCAGCTACCCTCGCCAATATAAATTTCTAAAGTTTCCATTTACGTTTTAACACGTATATAACATGCTTTATAACATAATATGATATGTAATACGTACCTATAGCACAAGCTTTATAAGACAAAATTATATATAGTACGTATAGCACATGCCATATAGGTAACACAATATGATATATAACACGTATAACACAGGCTCTATAACACAATATGATATATATAATACGTATTTAACACAAGCTTTATAACACAAAATGCTATATAGTACGTATAGCACATGCTCTATAACACAATATGAGCGTTCCTTTTGTCAACGAACACACAACGTAAGCTCTACGGAACGACAGATTTGTCTTGCTCTGTCGTAATTAACCATCCTACCGCTCATAACAATTGCGCTGTAGTCCCCTAACCCACCCACCTCCAACGCCCCTCCCACAAGAAAAATATTCAAAAAATATAACTCAGTACTCACTGCAGTGAGTGACAGAGAGCGCATTTTCTCGTCGACGAAAACTTGAGGTCACGGACGGACAGACAGACGGACGAACGGACAGACAGACAGACAGACGGACGGACGGACAGACATACACAGACAGACGGGCACGGCGAGCACAATAGTGCATTTTTTCCATGAATGAGAAAATGCGCTAAAAAGAAGAGATTTCTAACTGAAAGAACACTCTGGAATACAGCACGCGAGCACTAACTAATCAATTTGAAGCAGTGTATCCTATGAAGCCAGCAGCGCTCTAACTCAACGCTTGCACTTGATCAAAAGACGAAATAACAAACAAATTAAAGTTTCTCAGTGGTAAGTGAAGCTAATTCGTACCTGCAAAAATTGGTGCCCTGACTTCTTAAAAGCTTGGCCGAATGACAGACTAACGGAAAAAAAACGGAAAAGAATAAAAAAACATCATTGTCCGTGTAATGCTCGATTGTCCTCGAGTAAGAACCTCGGATTGAGAGGTAAAAAATAATTAGATCACAACCGCAGAGTTTTCTGGTTCAAGCAAATAGTAGGACGAAACTGTACCAGAGAAACGTATAAGTACAGCTAACTAAACGAACTAAACGTCCACTTGTTCTGTGTCAAGGGACCCTTTGGCAACTGATAACCAAGACATGGCGCTAGTACATTTTTGAAGCAAGTATTATTATTGCAAGCATGAAAAGGTGTTGGCTTACATAAAATAATCTTATAAGACGCTGTTCTGCAGTAGAGGACCACTGAAGAATCAACAAGTGTCCCAGATGGAACTTGGTACGCAAGCACGGCTGGACGTACTTCAAATAAGGCGAACTGGTGTCCAGTGACACTAGAAGAATGTTGCTCTTCAGAGCTGAGGACTGATTATCTTAATGCTGGTCATGCTCCTTCACCTTAGCCATGATCTCGCCACATCTGAAGCTAGTTATAATCCAAGACATGTCTATATGCGACCTTGTTTGGAGTCCAAGTCCTACAATGCGCTTAAAATTTTGTAGATACCTTATGTTATAACAATGATTCGAGAATGACATTATTATACAATGTATTATTAACGATCAGTGTAACTCGGGGCTGCTCGCGAAAGATTATTTCTGAGATTCTAGAATCCTGTTTTCCTTAATGCCATTTAAACCGAATCGTAGATAGTTTTGTAAATAAATCAGAATTAATAAGAAAAATTACTGGTATTACATTAACTACGTACGTACCTACTTTTCCCTAAACCCATTAGATTCAATCGCAGGAAACGAAACGAGCACTGTCTTAAAACACTGCTTAAAGTCAAATCCTCTCTTTTTTTATTCAATTCGAGAAGTAAAACAACATACTCACCGTGTGTGGATAGCTGTTCTAGCAGCGTTGCAGTTCCCAAGAAAATTCGTCAAATTTGAAATAAGGATCACTAACAAATGGTCTAAAGTAATGAAAAATCTGGTCGCTTAACACCAGTTAATCTGTAATAAATTTGAATTGTTCCAAATTTCCTGTTTTGCAAGAGGAGTAAAATTAGCAAATTGATTTTTCATTCATTTCACAGTCGAGCTGAAAAAAAAACTTATAATTTATAAATGAATTTTAAACGCGCAGATTACGGGGAAGGATCACTAAATTGTCAACAACACAATACCAGAGAAGGTGTAACAAATTTATTGACCAAGTTAGTATCCTAACCTGGCTTGTTGACTTTCATCTCCCTAACCTTGTGCGGCAGTCACAATATGAGAGTGTTTTCCGACTTGCACGTAGGCGGTTAATATACCCTGTTATTTTATCAGCTCATTAACACAGTTTTTACCACGTCTACGCATTAAATGAAGGTAAACTTCAAGGCCTCGAACTTCAGAAGCTTTTGACGGGGATAAACGCAGATTTAGACTCAAAAGTTGAGTAAATTGGTGAAAATCCAAAACGAAATTAGTCTAACTTCCGTGCAAATAGTACGTACCTATAGATTAGCTAAACTAACAACATTTAGGCTAAGTCGTGTTATTAGTTGAAAGATTAAATATACCTACCTTAAGAAGTCACATGGGCATGTATTGATCGCAATTTGCATTTGGCGATTTAGAGGTTTCGTCTCGTTCCTACAGAATGTCGTCCCTGCCTTTATGTTGGGAATAAATTCGGCGAATTTCATCAGGCATTATTAAAATTAAAACTTACCATCATTGACAACGAAGATATAATGCAATAAACTCTCGTGAAGCGAACCCAAAACCCCGAATTCTCTCAAATATGAATGAGGCCGGCCCACGCGCAAAGAAGCCCTTACATGACACTATAGCCTATTCTAATTCTTCTGTTAGAGCGAGAAATATGATTTAAAGTTAAAATAATATACGTTTAAAAACTACTTTTTAAAGACAACACTTCCAAAGAATCCAGTATCTCCAATCTTACAGATGTACAATGAATTTCTCATATCAAATATCAGTTATAAGATTTGTAGTTGAAAAAATTATTTTTTAAATTTTTTACTACCGTATTGAAAAAAAAAATTAATTTCCAAAATCATTTATTTTGACATTTGATTCATGCATTGTCTCCAACTTTACACAAGTGGGCAAAATTTCAGATCGATAGGATAAGTAGAAGTGTATTAAATTTAGTTTACAAGATTTGTAGCAGACAGACAGACAGACAAACAAACAAACAAACAAGAAGTGAAGTTAAAGAGAAGTGTTGTAAAAAGTCATTTAAATATGCTTAGTACCCTCGCGACTACCACAAAATTACACAAAGTTACCCACAACGTCCACACTCGAATATTAAACTCGAACAGATTTCCACAATGTAGAAATACGAAACCCAAAAATACGAAACCGGGTTTCGTATTTTTCATCTCAATTCGATCCATTTCATTGAATCATTGCAGCAGACACCGCGTTTATTCAGGACAGTGGCACGAGTAGCTACGAGCAGCAATCTTGCCGCACAACTTTCATCCTAGAGGCTGATCAGGAGCTTCAAGTAATACCATGAAAAGAATAATCCGACTGCTAGTCACTTGTGACGCGCTTACAAGGAGCCGCTTGCGTGTCTCGCGGCGTAAGGGGCCAAGCAAGATCACGCACGACGGTAGGTAGGCTTACCGCTTACGCCTTACACTATCACTCGGCTCCACATAAACTCACCAAGCACTAAAGAACTAGGTAACTTATTGTAACAGCCGTGAGGTAACCCGCAATATAGGGTATTCTGCTACAAGTTTTCCCTCTGGAGGCTTCTTGAAAGTTGGTCTCGTACCCGTAACGTTGAGAAACTCAAGTGCTGTCACTGGCTTACCTGATCAGATGAATAGCTTTTAGGAACTTAACTCAATAGAAGGTGAACAAATTCAATTCAACAGTTCTTATGAGAAAGCAAGAAGAAATCTCTAAACAAATAAATCTGAACATGCAATAACTGAAAAACTTTCCCTACTTCGTATTGACAAATTCATACTCCGGTTCTTGGCAAATTTTCGTTCTAATAAATGCGCCTCATGAATTCACATCGTTAACGATGAGGACTAACTTGTCCAGAATATTGCTTAGACCGAGGAATTTAATCAGAAAAGTTTGATGGTAAAGGACTGCTGGCAAGTAGCCTTAGCTTATAATAAGATGTGGACAAAATATACGTGTACGCATTTTTTTTCTCCTAGCATTTACTCAACAACTTGAAGGAGTAAAAATAACAAAAGGCGGAGCCATTGTAAGTTACAGTCTAGAGCCAACAGCGAGCTTGGAGAGCACGAGCATCTTGACTACACCGACTCGCTGAAGTCTGAACTTTCTTGAAGGCATGCGCTCGAAAGTGCGTAGCACCTAATCTAGTACGTAAACAAATACAAAACTTTGAAGATTGTTCAATATTATTTTAGAAACATTGACAACTTTTGCATGATGATGCCAGCCTAGAATGTATGTGTTAACTCTAGCAGTTATTATTTGCTTAGGCATTATCATGAAAATTACGCAGATGTCTTGCTAAGTCCATAATATTTAATGGAATTTCTAGTAGGCCGTTGTTCTTTGACAACTTCTTCTAGCACTTGACAATTCAAAAGAGGTAAATATTTCACCAAGTCCACCGTAAATTAAAAACCATAGTAATCCAGGGCCACGAGAGTGCATAATTTGACAATTGTTAAGTGCAATGAGATCACACACATCCTCACTCCACCAGTGACATGAGGCAACTGCCGCAAGGTGTTTCGAATACAAGATTACCTGTTCGTCCTATCACTCTGGTCCCAGGTATTCAGAGGTATGTGAAGAGTACCATTTAAACAACTTACTCTTCGAATATTTTCTCTCGGGTCACATTATTTAAGCATAGCTGAGAGGATAATCATCCTGAATACGCATAACTGCAGCCACATAATATTTATGGTCTAAGGCTTGAAACACCCACTCACAAACTTTGTCAAATATACATAAGATTGAGAGTCTCAGATAACGAATTTTATATAACACGCATTTATTTATATTTTCATAATAAACATCTGATTGCACTCTCCTAAATAGAAATAAATCTTGCTACATATCCGTACTTCTCAAGATTTATTAGTGGAAGCAAATTTGATTTTTTTGCGAAGAATTTATCAATAGGACACCAAAATCCTAAAAATAATGTAATCGGACAATGTAAAAGTATGCAAGAGTTTATTCTATTTCAATGGTAGCGCAATGACATCGAGTTGGACGATAATGCTCACGATAAAGTGCATGGTTTGATTATTTCCAAATGGATTTTGTCACTGCATAACATCTAAGAATGCTGAACGTATGTAATCCTGTTGTTAGAGGCTTCCTTTATAAAAAAAGCTGCTGTCGCTATTCATAGTTCTTGCAAAATCAACAAGAATGTCCGAAATTTCTCAAAATTGCGAAATACATTTTTGGAAAGAGGACCAAATAACTTTAAAGTGTTCTTAAATTTTGGAAATTTCAGATTTTAGATGGGACTTGAACCTGTGACAATAATTTAAGCCCTGTTTACGTAAGAAGTTGTTGTTCTGGAGAAGACAGGCTGGGATGTTTTTAGGCCTAAAACAGTTTGAATTTTGAAATGTCTTCTAATACACACACAATGTTTAAAAAAACATCGAAATGTAGAGAAAACAGGAAAAAATTCAACAAAGTTCCCCTTTTATCTTGAAAAAAGCAAGGAAACTGTGAATATCATCTTGATTTTTTTTTGCCGTTTATTTCTTGGATGATGTATAATTTATGCAATGATTTGACCTTAATATTCAAACAGAATATCCCATGTCCACCGCAAATCACACAATGTTTGAGTATTCTAGTTGATCGAATCAGTAGTTGAGCCGAATCTCTCAATTTGTTATACGAGTATATGTTATAGTTTTGATATGAACAAATCAACTTCTATACTCTCATTCATGTCATTCATCACAATACAATAGCGTGATTTTGAAAATTTATTCAGACCAAACTTTTCAGTTCTAGAAAACTAAATTGAATTTGTATTTAATTTCTATGCAAATGTAATTCATGCATCCAACGACCACTCGAGGTACTTGTTATATGCGGTCTTGTGATTGAGTAGCCGATCGCACAGTCACAACATGGAAAGGTTGCGTAAAAGTCGCTTACAGTCTCGTTTGATTTAACCTGAGGAGTACAGAACATTACCACAAGCTTTGGATCTCACAGGTACTAAATTTTAATAATCGTCTCAGGTAAATTTCAATGAATTCAAGGTATCAATAATGGAAGTTTTCTTTTAAAGCAAAAGCATTTGCTACTCCAAATGAGAAGTAAAATAGAATGTAGGACAACAAAAAACATTGAAATGCATGAAAAGAAAAACAGTCTCTGCATCGTGAATGTACAAGTGGAAGAAATTTATAAAAAATAATGACTCACGTCTAATTGCTACTACAATCAACGATGCACAGTAGGACTCTCATGCTGGGACAAACTATCATCGTCAGAAGATGAAGAAATTCTCACAATATTTAAAAAGTTCCATTGAGTGTCTGGCAGTTGCTGTCACTGGCTCCAAGGAATGACAGGAATTCGGCCCCAGTTGGAGGGCATACACCGGCAACCGCCTGCGTTACCTTGAGTGGCGTTCAAGCAGCCATATAATCTTCGGAACAAACTCATAACTCGCAAAAATTGTGAATAAGCACACGAAAGCAGTCGTATTAAGGCAGTTAGCAGGAGTATCATTTTACGAAGCTTGAATATGATTAAGGTCGTCGCAGCTTTCGGCGAATAGAAGTTGAAATCTGCCTGGGGAAGTTGATAACTTTTGCATCATAAATATGATAAGCTGATGAGAGAAGATAAAGAATTCCAAATAATTTCAAACTAAAAAAACTATTTTTGTTATAACAAATGACTCTTCCCTTAGCTAGGTACAACCTATAAACTATGAGAAAGCCAACAATTAATGAGGGTTACTTTTGGCGGGAACGTTACTACCACGCTACTTCCACCTTCTACATACGTTAGAAAGTAGGACGCAGTGTACGTTTGGATGTTATTCTTAAAGTCTTGTCTAATTGGCAGAGATTTAGTTATGCCTTAATTTGGCAGAGATTTAGTTATGCCTTAATTTGGCTGAGATTTAGTTATGCATTGCACAACTTGCCTCTCCGCGACATTGCAAACAAAACGGCATATACAAAATTATGATTGAACGTGGAAACGTTCGGAGGAGAAAACGCCCCGGCATTAATTTCGTTATAAAAATGAAATTATAATTTGTGATCTTTGTCTTAACTTCGACATGAATTGTGTATTGTGGCACAGAATTCAGAGAACATTTCCTCGATCTGAAAAATTGCGACCTGAGTTTGGAAGAGCCATTTGTTAAAACCATTTTTTAATGTTTTTTAAGACATTTAAATGTTTTTTAAAACATTAATTTTAAAACCATAAAACTAAGGGAAGAGCCATTTGTTAAAACAAAAAATCTTTTTTTTAGTTTCTCTCATCAGCTTATCATATTTTTGATGCAAAAATTATTAACTTCCCCACCCCAAGAACTTGCGCAGATTTCAACTTATATTCGGATATTATTGCGGAAATAAGTTCCGTCCTAATGAGCTCAGAAATGGTCGAGGTCATAGGGTTGAAAAAATTATTCATCCCATAAATCAAATGAGACCGAACATTTCTTTGATTAAAATAATGTATGATATTTCGAATCAAACTTGAAGCTTTAATAAATAAACAACTAATGTGTTTCGGTTTCCACGTTTAAATCCGTATTCGGAATTTAAAATAAAATCAGCGTACCCCTACAAACTACATATAAGTTACGGCTCCTTGCATTTGATGCGCAAGGGAACGCTGGCCTCTCCCTGATAACTTTATCGTCGTAGCTTCTTTATCAGCGCCTCTTAAGCAGTACTGATAAATCTCTGAGGCCAAAGGGTACCGGGCAGTGATATTTGAATGCAACTCATTAAACTATGATCTATGAATGTTTATATATAAAGCATTTGTTTGATGGCATGATGTGCACACTGTCGACTCAGCGGCAGTGAATGGGCATTGATAGGTTAATTCTACCTTGATACGAATTTATTGAAGTCTAAATGCAATTATTTTAGAAACTGTTGCACTAACCAAAGTCAAAACTTGCGAATGATTTATTTTTTGAATGCATGGATCATTGTAGAGCTACACTTAAAACACTGCGAGCAAATGGAAGATCTTTGGGGAAAAACTTCAGGTTCAACAAATTAATTAATTCTCAGTTGTTCGGGTGATTCATTTTAGTATTTACAAGGCATGTCATTTCCTACGAGATATACTGCCATCAACGAATAATTTAGCTGGAGGTTTTATTGATGAAAGTCTCGGCTTGCAATGATTCCAACAATGATAGTGATTCAATGATTTCCCCAGACATTCGTTCGCAAGAGGAGGCCTTATCAAGAAGCAGCAGAGATAGGCTCCTGCCGATAAGCTCGCGAACGCAATTAATGAAGCTCAATATCTGATTCCGGTGCAATAAATTTTCCATTTCATAACATCTAACACCTGAAAATATGTGACTTTATTTTTCCACTCTAGGAAAAATAACGGCCTATAGAAATTACTTCGGAAAGTGAATGTGTGGAAGGATAGACTTCCGACGAAGTTTCCTAAGTTAAGTTTCTCAATGACTATCACATGGCCTGAAAGTTTACTTTCGGTGCTCCGACCCTTAATATATTTACTTATATCATTTGCTCAGCGAGGAGGTTAGACCAAGCAAGTAAATTAACTTCTACAAATATAAAAAATATTTTCAATCGAACGCTATTTACTCTGATATTTATTGCGGTTATCCGGCACTTGAACCAAGCACGCAACCTTATCACTATTAATGAATGTAAATTAGTTATTTTTCCTAACATTTGCAAGCTTATATTTTGCTTAAAAATGTAAGGTAATAGTGCTCTGTTTGCGGTGTCATCAGCAAACCATTTGCTTGATCCTTCTAACCCCTTTTCGAAGAAGGTAGCAAAACTATATCAAGCCCATTTTTACATAGAAAAGGTTACAAAATAAGTATGAAGAACGTTAAATAAAAAAACTGCGTCGTAGCTTATTAAAGATTAGATTAGGCTTATTATCCTAAAAAAATATTAGGCTTATTATCCTAAAAAAATATTAGGCTTATTATCCTAAGATCGATGTTATCCGCTTGATCGGTAAGATCATATTTGAAATTTTGTAAGATACAAATTTTGAAACTTCAATTTTCAGGATGAGAGACGTTAGTCCTCAGATTAGTAGTGAAATAAATGAAGCACGAGCTTTACAAGGTGGCCGTAGTCACAAAAATTACTACCTGCGTCATAGCGAAAAAATCTCTATGATTGAAGATCTTTCTATCATTAGTCTTTCTACTGAGTTCCTTTATGCCTGATAAGAATAAAAAAATTCGACAAAGTAAATTATTCATGCGATATGTTCATCACAGGAAATTCCCTCACTAAATTCATCTCGTGTAAGTGTGGAACAGCCTCCCCGATGACATCGTTGGCGCTCCAAGTATGAACGCGTTCAAGAACAGACTAGATAAAGCTATGGAAAAATATATGTTCAGACTTGAAATGCCTAGCTCCTAATCGAACCCGGTGGAAGTCTAGTAGCTTCTTCAAACTATCGCCAGTCATGAAAAGATCTGGTCAATTAACACGATTTTAGGTCTTCTATGAACAAGGCACGAAAAGGAAAAGAATCGGCGACAGGCCACATCAGGCCTACGCTTCAGCGCCGACATCACTATGTTATGTTATGTTAAGTGCGCGCACTCGCTTTTATTTCAAAGGAATATTCAAAACGAGACGGGGCCTGAAAAACTCTTCAGAGTTGGTAGAACAAATGCTAAGCTTACGAGAAGATGTACTGGCACGGCAAGATGCACGTCGGTAAACCCAACATTCAGAAATGATTGTTAACAAAAAAATAATAATTCCGTAAGAGAAAACTTTTACCCGAGCTAAAGAACGCCTTACAAGTCAAGTTACTGGACACGTAAGCAAAGTTTCCATTTGAACGAAATATAGGAGTATCTGTATCTCGTACGGTATATAAAATGTGATGGTTAACTCAATTTCGACTTCGAAATATGGAGTGTGTAACCCTTTAATTTTTTACACAAGGATAGAATGTGGAATATGATAATATTCGCGATACCATCCTAAAAAATTCATTAATATAATTATTAATGGCAGTATAGAAACAAGGAAAAAAACTAAAAAACTTCGAAAATTGAATATTAATTCCAGGGAATGATGCACCCTCGAACAACAAAGGATCTTGGGAGATAAAATAGAGGTTTTGCAACATTGCAGAACATTCACATTAGAAAAAAAAACGAAGAATTCACAGCACACGACACATTCCTTTAAGCACAGCAATAGAAAATGTAACAAAAGATGCACACACAGAAAAGATTTACTCGAAGAACTGTCAGAACGTAAGTAGTATTTCACTACGTCGTACAAGTGATCTAACTTGAAAATAAATATGTGATTGAGAATAATTATTTCTTTTCAATTAACATTTATAATGACTATCAGCAAAAAACATGCCGCCTAATTCAGGAATTTGGCAACAACATTAAATTATCATCAGCTTATCAAGAATGATCATGATGTCATCACGACGAAACCGCTGAAAATTCAGCAGCAATCTTGAAGGCTTCATCTGTGAAGTTGACGCCGGTGTGATTAGAAATAATGGCTACAACAATTCCACGAATTTCTAAGGGCTCACGAATTCTTGACGTAGGTTCTACTTCATCGTCCGTTTTCCTGTTGCACAAACAACATCCGTTCCAGGGGCTTTGGCCTGCAACCACGCACCTGTACTTCTCGTTTTTGGTAATCTTCCCGTCCATCTCACTGGAATGTTTTGTTTCTCCGTCATCAGCAGTTCCGACGAGCTTCTGGACAAGCCAGTCCCCAGGGATGTCTGGCATGATCAGTAACACCGAACTTCCCCCGATGGCAGCGCCTGTGTGGTAAGCAGCAAATTTGCTCTGACTGCAAGCCATTCTGCCTGTACGACCACCGACAGGATCTCCCTCAACCCAGTTGCCATCTTCGAGCTCGTTTTCAGGTGCCGATGAGTAACAAACATCAAGGGACGGACTTTTGGTTTCCAAACACATTTTGCCAGCTGAATCAGAAATCTGTTCGGGGCTACACGTGGATTGCTGCTGTGGAGTTTCTAAAGCACTATCAGCGTTGTGCCCCCAATTCTTGGATATTGCTACGTAGGAGTTTTCTTCTTGTTCTTGGTTAGCCTTAGGAGAATCTTGATCTAATGCCTTATCGTAATGGTCCATCCTGGGCACTCGGATACACCAACCCAAGCCGTAGCCTTTCATGTAGTCCTGAGTGAAGGCCTGGGCAGGGTTATGGTAGAAGTAAGGCGACCACATCTGCTGTACAGTGCTTGACTTCAGATAGCCTGGTTTCACGTTGTGCTCCTCTATAAATAAAAAAAAAAGTATTGCAGTGGGACCGAATTGAAATATGAATCATTTCCAAACTATGCGAAAAATAATTGACATAAATCATACACAAATGATAAAATTAAATGTGCCAATAGTAACAAATAGGGCAGTGAATTGATTTTTCAATCTAATGGCCCTGATTCATGGCATTTTTGTTTGAGTTATCTCAGACCGAATGTCATACTGAGTCGTTAAATCAATTCTGAATCTCTACAAATCAAATGGACCAGATCCCGTTGAAAAAAAAAGCATGGTTGAGCGTGATCCTAGGCAACCTCAACCTCTAAAAATAAGTTTCCGTCAGAAACTGCAACAACATCAACCTCAGGAATGTTTTCACCAGCTTTTCGTGAAAGTTTTTATAAGTAGAGGACTAAGTTTCTGATAGGAGGAAGTGTCGGCAAAGCACGTACTTATCATGTGTGGCGTGGCGTGCAGGGAGTAGAGCAAAGCAGAGCCAAATCGAACCAAGTCCACGGTCGAGGATATGAAGCCTCCGCCCGCCCACTTGTACGAGTTATCCACGTACGGTGCGTTCAGGAGGTCGTGATTCTCGTCGCGGACGTAGCACCTGAAAAAGCAACGAATTACAACACTCAGGAAAGAACCAAGGATAGTATTAACGTAAAAATAAAGCCCACCTGACTGAACACAAGTACTTCAAAAAATTTTATGTAAAAGAAAATCAGTGCAGAAGTGCGTCGGACTTCATTGTGATTAAAGCACCCAAAATCCTTCACAACAAAAATTATAATTTTTCAAAATCTGCGAGTAATTATGGCAGAAATGGGAGATTAATATATAACTGACGGGACTCTGTGCGTGAGGATTGCGTGAGGAGAGTCCAGGTCGGTCTGATGGAGGCCGGCGTTATGGAAGAAGTCCCGAGCGAGTTTGGGGAAGGGCGAGCCCGACGCGGCCTCTAGCACGCGGCTCAGCAGCACGTAGCCGTGACTGCTGTACAGAAACGCGCTGCCTGCGGGACAACGGCACACTTATCTAGAGTGCGCTTCGGGAAGGGACACTAATTTAGAGTGCGCTTCGGGAAGGGACACTAATTTAGAGTGCGCTTCAGGAAGGGACGATTAGACATGCGTGTCGGACCTTGCGTGGTGACGGCACACTAATTTAGAGTGCGCTTCGGGAAGGGACGAGTAGACACGTGTGTCGGACCTTGCGTGGTGACGACACACTATTTTAGAGAGTGCGCTTCGCGAAAGGACGAGTAGGCATTTTTATTGTGTCATGCGTCGCAACGGCACACAAATTTAGAGAGTGATAATGTTCTCTTGAGGTGGATGCGCGTACCAGTGTTTATATCAGGCAAAGTTTAAAATTAAGCATGTTAAATATTGTATAATTATAGAAAAGCACACGAATTAGTTCATGAACTTTTGAATGTATACAGAAATTGTTAGTCATTATTGTGGGTTTTAGGAGCAATCACTGAGATAACTCAACAAAGAGGGGAGAAATGCGGGTACGTTCCTGTCAGGCAATAGAAAACCTTATACACAAAGTAGAAGGAAAATTGATACAGAAATTTTTCGTATTTAAAGCAATTTAAGAATAAATGTAAGCACAAGTTTGAGGACAGAATATTCACCAGTTATTAATATGAAAATTGAAGAGATTCTGCTTATGTTTTCTGCATCAAAGTTGGCATGCATTGTAAGCATGAGGGTGTAGCTGGTGCCACGTCATAGCAAGCATGCTGGACATGAGAGTGTAGCTGGTGCCACGTCATAGTAAGCATGCTAGACATGAGAGTGTAGCTGGTGCCACGTCATAGTAAGCATGCTAGACATGAGAGTGTAGCTGGTGCCACGTCATAGTAAGCATGCTGGACATGAGGGTGTAGCAGGTGCCACATATTCCACTGACCAGGTTTGAAGAAGAGGTCATCATCTTTGAAGAGGTCAAGCGCTTCTTGCACCGACTCATAGGGCTTGGTGATATAATATTCCCAGAGATCAGCTTCTCTCTGCTTCTCCCGCTTCAGTCGTTCTTTTTCTTCAATGAATTTGTTTTGATTGAGCCAAGGCTGAAGCCTGGTTCGACGAGCTTCAACGTACCTGTAAGGAATTTAGGCATTGGATCACACTATGAAAACCTTTTGACCTTATGAACATAGAGAATTGATGTTCATTTTTAGTTAGAATATTTCTAACTGAGAGTTATCAGAATATGCTATTCACAGCAAATATGAGTTATTAATGAGCAAGAAAACACTGAAGTTTATTTTTTTTAATGCAAGAAAACTACTGTAGCTCAGTAAAATGTACGAGAATGTAGGAGCTTTCAAGTAACTTCAAAAAAGATAGAAATAATTTTTTAAGTTCATTTATTCACAAAAAATGAGGATATTAACAGCTTGTGATTGAATCTTGCAAACACATCATAAATGAAAACATCTCTAAAATAGATACAGGTATATAGGTACTTCTTGAAATTGTCAAGCCGTGCATCTTCAGATGATGTGCTAACATCATCACTGCTATTCTTAGCAGCAATATTCCTCTTGTTCTTGTCAACTTTGGATGAAGAACGAGTCCCATCGTCTCGTTCCATGTTTTTTCGGCTGTTTTCTTTAGGTTTCTTCAGACAATAATGTCGGATGCCAGATGAATGGGTCAGTAGGTGGCGGGTGGTTATTTCAACCTGAATAACATAAGACGTTTTAGTAACAAATAACCTACTCAAAAAATTTGAACTAGACTTCAAACTTAAAATGAAAGCAAAAGCTAGAGATGTAAATTAAATTATTACAATAATTGAATTATTATTGAATACACAATATAAATTTAATTATTTTTCACTTTCTTTCCTGACCTGTTTAAAGAAAACCTGTTTTTCTAAACCTGTTTCATGCAATATTGTGACTTCTTGAGCTAAGAAGCATTGTTTTAGTATATTGCAGTAAACCAAAATCCATCATAAGTCAACTTGAAATAATTTTAGAGCAACAAGCTGATTGGGTTCTAAATGCTCCATTAAATACATAAATCCACCTGCTTTCCATCAACAGTTTTCTTTGGCCAATCATCAAGATAATTTGATATGGGGGCATCCAAGTCAAGCAATCCATCTTCCCAGAGAGACAGCGCCATGACAGCTGTCATAGGTTTGCTGATGCTGGCTATGCGGTAGCGGGAGTGTTGAGTGCAGTTTGCACCAGTTTCAACATTGCAGTGTCCAATTCCTGGAAGTTGAGAGACATGTGATGAAAAATACACATCCATGTAATTTTAAGGATGCGGAAATGCTGCAAATTATAGAAGACATTAATAATCTATCATCAACTGAATATTAGTAAATGAACTGGAAATAACATGTACATGTATCCATAAATTCACCAAACTAGCCTTGACACCAGACAAAATCTCCATCCATCATGACAGCAACAGATGCTCCACATGCTCCACTTCTCAGAAGCTTTCCCCTGATAATACTAGTGGATCTGGAAATAGCATCTTTCATCTTTTTCTTATGTGCAGAGTTGTTTTCATCAGATTTCCCATCCAGATGTACAGTTGGTGCATGTTTTCGAACAAGACCGGATTGTGAGTCACTGTCATGTTGAGACTCGTCAGAAATTTGGAACAAGTCAATGGGTGCTTCATCGTTCTTCTCAATGCAAGCATGTCTACATGGGTACACAAAATCTTCTTCTGGAATACACTCTTGTCTGTTACCGGTACTGCTACAAAATAAGGAGGAGCAGGACAAATGCTTGAGCCCACTCCTTGAATATTTAAAAAAACGATGTCGAGAAGAGCACTCCAAATTTATTTCATTTTCAGACTCGTGCTCATCATTGCTGTTATGTGGATGCTCTTCCTCCTCAGAGTCACACGAGACAGCAGTTGTCCCTAGCACCAATACTGTTAAGTACACACCCACATGAGATAAATGTCTGAAGTACTTATTTTCTCTTGAATATTCTTGATGTTCGGCTTGGCCATACAAATAATAAGGGTGGTCAGCAGTCTGGCAGACAAGGCTGTCAAATCTGTTTATATGGTTGTAGCTTCCACTTGTAGTTTGAAATGTATTGGCACAGTGTTTAGCTGTATTATATTTAAATATTCTTTTTGAAGAAGTTGAAAGTGTTCGGAGAGCACCAGGAAGCATTACAGGAATCTTGATCTTAATTAGCTGTGATGATGTCATTTGACACTTATTTGGGAGTAGAAAATGCTTAATACACAACCTGAAAAATAACATTAAATTGATAAGTGATAACATTTAATACAATGAATGCAGTAAGAAACATATACAGTATAAACAATTCTTGTACTTCACAAGAACATACTGGTGCATTTTGCATTCAGTTCTCAGAATTTATTTGCAATCAAAGAATGATTTGCTGAGAAATGATGTGGTAATGTGGTTAACTGTATTTTGTAATCGTTTAATACTTCAAATTTCATGAACAATCTGGAAACTGCAGCCAATTTCATTTGTGGACAGGAGCGAAAAATCATGCTAGGAGTAGTTGTCACTTTATGATGAGAAATTTAGGGAAAACTTTTGCTAAGAACGCAAAAAAAGTTAAAGCTTTCTTCTCTTGTGCTCCATTTGCTGGTAATTATGAAATAGGTAGAAGTATATCAGCTATTAATGATACTAATAGCTTAAATTTCATATTAACCACAAATTTAAAGCAAGAAAATGACAAAAAAATCACCATGAGCTAAATTAATTCTATAATTAAATACAATCATTTTGCATAATTATATTCTACAGAAACAATATTAAAACCTACATATATTGACAAATAAAGTTATATTGCAACTAACAGACACACCTATCTATAAACAATTTCCAGCAGATAAGTACAACAGAAAGTCAGAATCATTGTAAGTAAAACCTAACATCTCGGTCACTGTCACATGGAAGGTCACATGCTAGTCAGTTTAAAAGCCCTGGCTGCACTGATTTGGTTTTCACTTTCTTCTCTACAGATATAGTTGCCACCTACCTTTATGTGCCCTATTCTAAGTTGTGTTTGATACCTCAAAGCCTCATGCACCCCCTTACAAGCCTAAAAATTATTACAAACTTGGCCCTTAAGTTGGCTACGAGATGCCTCAAATGACTTTAATTGACCACCTCCAGACTGAGACAAATCATATTATGTCCAGTCTACTGGACCTTGCTTGTTTACAGTTTCTTGCCAGCACCTCTCTTCCTTTTCCATCTCTGCCCCTTTTGGAGAGACTTCAGACTTATGAAGCTTTCCCTCATTTTTTAGATTCAGCTACCTAACGGAACCTCTTCCGAAATACAACATTATGCCTGATGGTCAAGCATGCACTCTCTGCACTGTTTCTCTTCTACATCCCACCACCAAGATCAATAAGGTCCTGGCTGCCCCACCACCCAGCACCCATGATTGCCTTGCTCCCCCACTTCCAATCTGTGTTGATACTTGATTCAGCTCTGCTAAGCATACTGCATTTCCCAGGATTCTTGGACATTTTGTGCAAGGTATATGTACTCCAAAGCACTTCCTGCCCTGAATGCAGAGAATCCTTCCAGTAAATCACAAATCTTTCTATCTGTCTATATTTATAATCCTCTGTATAACCCTTAGCATCTCCTTGCTTAGAGACAGTACCACAAAGGCAACAGCCTTCTTGGGCTGCCTTCCTCCATTTGCACATCTCACTCCAGGCCTCCAATACAAGCAAGTGACTCTGATCTCATTCATACACTACTTGAGCTGCCTTGGAGCCTCCCATGAATGTGTGACAGGATACATATTTTGTGATACTTTTTTATATATTGAGGAATACTGTTTTGACTGCTCATTCTTTTAATGATTTCTTCTGTCTAGGTTAGTAACTAGATACTGTTTGAATTTATTTATTTTATGACTAGAATCATCAAACAGGACAATAAGGGACAGGCAGGGTAAATCGGAACAGTCCTACAACATTTTTTAAAATTGATGTAGGAACTAAACTGATTATTATATTGCAAAACTAAATATCATGGCCTAAAGTTCAACATTTTTCCTTCTATATAGCACAAAACAAGTTAAAAAATTGTATATCTACTATACCGTAAAACGGGGGAAAAAGGGACGGTTTTGAGTGTTTTTTATTAATAACTTCTTACCATGAAACATTTCAGAAACAAGTTTAGGCTCATTTTATAGCTCTTTGCGAGGGCTATTGAATGGCATCTTCAAAAAATTCCATATGCTATTTGTAAGGCGCTAGACAGTAGACACAATATAAAAGACTCCTGAATTAATCTTGAAATGGGGTAAAATGGGACACTTGAAATAAAACTCAATTTCAAACATTTGAAGCATGCAGAGTGTACTCATCTATTACCAGTACTAACAGTACTCTGAAGTCCTCCTTCATTGTAGATGATGTAGATGTAAAATAAATGACATTTTCTGTAATTTTTACTTGTTTTTCCTTTATTGATATGAAATTACCATATTCATTAATTACCGTATTATTAATGTGATATTACTGTATCCATGGACATGCCATTGAGCATTAACAACAATTTTGTCCATTGCAAGCTTCATATCAGCAGCCATGTAGCATTCCTTCTGTATCTGTAAGCTTACAGGATGGTTTGTAATTCTGCACAATTTTAATCAAGTCTAGTGATTTCACTATAACAAAAAAGATGGTGAAAAACATACCTGAAACATAAAATAATGTTCTAGTGACAATCATCATATGTTTTGAAGAAATAAATTATAGTTTAGGTCAATTACTTTTCATTCTATGATGCCTTTGCACAATTCTATATACAGAGGTGGGCAGTAGCACGCTACATGTAGCGGCCGCTACATTTCCAGTAGGGTAGCGGCGCTGCATTCAAGGCAATGTAGTGGTAGTGCCCGCTACATATTCAAGTAGCACTACGAGGTTTTTCCGCTACAGCGCTACCACTACATTTATAGATAAAGCCTTTAGATTTTACTTAATAGTATTAAATATTATTTAAAAACCAGCATGATACATATCTAATATAAATAACAGAATAAAACTGTATGAAAGATTTCAGTGTAATGTTGTCAACCTCAGCCTGTTACTATATATAGTGTCAACATGTTAGTTGTTACTTGTTAAGTTGTTACCAGTTCCCACTTACAGGTATTTTTTCATGTTTCAGTTTGCTTACGGTTATTTTTATGTTTCACCTTCCCTACATGGATGTCTACTTCAATCTACCAATCTCTAAAATAATCCACATATATATATACAAATAAAAGACTGATTTTTATATGTATATGTGGATAATTTTTAGATTGGTAGATTAAAGTACACATCCATGTAGGGAAGGTAAAACATAAAAATAACTGTAACTGTTATTTAGTGTATCTAACCCGTACTAGTTCAGTTAGGTTAATTGCAATAAAGTTGCAGTGATGTTTTGAAAATGTTTTTTTATCATTAAATGTTTACGAGTAAATCCCAATAGAAGAACAATAAATATTTAGAGATTTCCAATAATTTTGGCCATTGTAGCGGCGCTACATTTTACTGTAGCAGTAGAGCTTGCTACAATCTAGTGGGTGTAGCAGTAGCGCCCGCTACATTTAGAGCAAGTAGCGGTAGTGGTAGCGTCGCTACATTTCTAAGTAGCGCAGCCCAGCTCTGTCTATATATAGCATTCTATGTACAATTTTTTGATGACCGATGATGCACTAATTTTTCAATAAGTGAATTTTTTTGCCAAGCGAGGTAAATATAATAAAAATTCTTTGTTGTTAATCAATTTTATTGCTAACTGGAGCCATTGCTAACTGAGGTTCTACTGTAAATGCATTTTTAAGGGTGTCCCTAACTACCCCATGGGGGTGTCCCTTTTTACCCGGTCGAGTGGAAATGGCTGCCATTTTTTTAATGAGATAGGCAAATTCTCTCAATTACATTTTCAAGCTGACACCTGGGTGCAACATTTATGTACGTAAGTAAAATTTTTCAATATGGCGAATATTTTTTTTTGCTCCAGACCTTAGCAGAGGTATTTTTCAAAATCGCACTTTTCACACTTTTTCAACAATTTTTTAGAGATAGTAAAAATGTTGAAGTTTGTGCCACTATTTTTAGTTTTGCAATATTTTGATTAGTTTAGCTAAATAAAATTGAAACATTTCTACGAAATGTGGGACGCATGTCCCGATTTACCCTGCCCATCCCTTTTTACCCCATTTGACGGCACCATCCCACACAACAGCAGCCAGGTAACTAAAGATCAGTGTCTTCGGACCATCTATTTATGTGCCTGGCCGGTAATTTTTGCCTATCTTAAATGTGAATATGTGAAAGAACTCCCCCACCCCTAACCTTTCGCAATCTGTCATCAAGGCATAAATCAACGTACAGAGATGATTTTGGTACCGTTGGATAGGCCAGAATGTCAAATTTAAGGTGAGACTAAAACCAGAAAAGTGAAATTTGCAATTTTTTACCCAGAAAATCAGGCAGTAAAGGGTTACTAGCTTATACTTGGTTACTTTGTTAAGATGTAGTGAATGTCTCGCAAAGTATCATTTCATTTTATCATGAATTTTAGAAAAAGGAATGTTCAGGACAATTATAAATGTACCTAGTTAGCCTGTCTGATGACAATATTAAAATAAAATTGAATTTCATAATCCAAAAAAAATCAACAACCTTTGTCAAATAATAATCTAGGCTTTCCCCAAAGTGCAACACTAAACTGAGATGCGGATCGTAGCCGATTTATTCATTTGGCATTTTTTAGTTAACTAGAGCACATTAAACTGGGGTAAAAATCTAATAACTAATAAGATTGATTTTTTTGTATCCTATTTGTGTTGTGAGGTGTTGCTATTGAAATTACAAATATGTATACTATTGTCTCATATCAAACAAGATCTGCCATGTGCCAGCTGTGTGAGTAAATTCTGAAGTTGGTAAGAAATATTCCTTTGAGATTTAAAATGTAATACAGCTATCCCTTGATTAGCACGGTTTTGAATACCGCGGTTTTGATTAACGCAGAAAAAAAATTTGCAACCTACCCTTAATCTACGCGGTGCCAGTTTTGATTAGCGCGACTTCTTTTCACAATGCATCATTTTCCCGCCTCTAGCCAGAGGTGTTACATTCATAACAAAAGTGTTACTACTTTTTGCTTATTAGATCTTATGTTGTTACTTTTGTTACAACTTTTGGAAAAATTTGCCAAATGTTGTTACTTTATGAATT